CCTTCTGAGACATGAGGGCTCAGTGGAAAGCTGGCATCTGCAACCTGGAGGAGGGCTCTCACCACAACCTGACCATGCTGGCACCCTGCTCTCAGACTTCTGGCCTCCAAATGGTGAGGAATAAATGCTTACTGTTTAAGTCACCTAGTCTATGGTCATTTGTTATAGCATCCTGAACTGATAAGATAGTCATCAGTTGGATATTGGGGTGAATATAGTTTTTTAAAACAGAAAGTAGGCAATAAAGAACTAAACATAACCAGAATAAGAATATAGGGTAACTTTACTGACTTTTTAAAAAAAGTACATTTTATATTTTTCTCCACTTAAAAGTTTTATGTATTATAATAACATTCTTTCATAGAAGTAAAAAGAGAGAAAAATATTACTTATTCTGATTACGTAAGGATAACAGAGAAATTGGTACACTGAATATACATAATTCCTTGAATATATATAAACCACTCCCAAACTGTTGTTAAAACTGTTTTTCAGGCCTGTTCAAACCTGCTGTCTCATTAGTACTTTTTTGTTCCTTTGATCATCTCCAGGGCAGATCTCATGACTCTTTCTACCATTGTCAATAAAATTCTCTTGCCACTTCTAAGCACAAAATAGACTTTTCAATAATTTAAATGTCCTTTCTGTGTAATAGAAAACTTCGGAATTTAATTTAAAGATTTTCTGTAACAGAGACTGGAAACTGTCCGCCAAAATCCACTTTGTCCATTTTCCATTGTAATAAGAGTTCTGATCACTGGCATGGCCAAGTGGACTACATTTCCCAGTCTCCCTAGCAGTTAAGAGTAATCATGTGACTGAATTCTATCCAGTAGAATATGAGTAGAAAGGATATGTTTCATTTTTAGGCCCGCCCCCTAAAAAACTTCCCATATTTGCTCCTCCACATAGTTTCCTCTTTCTAGTTGACTGAGATGAGAGTGACCTTAGGGTGTTGTTGGGAGCTAAGTGTTAAGGATGATCAGCCAGGGTCCCTGGATACTTGTGTGGAGGAAAGCCTCCTGCTTTCTTTACTACCCCAACCTGGAACTTTCCTCTACTGTCATATGAGCAAGAACTAAACTTCTATTGTGTTTAGTCACTAAATGTCTGGGGCTGTTTGTTACGGCAGCTAGCCTACTCTAATACATTCTCCAGGTCCATGTCAGGCTGAAAGCCTACATGGGGAAAAGAGTCAGCTCTCCTTTGTGCCTCCTTTTCCTGCCTTCAACTCTGTTAACCATGTGTAGTTTCTGACCCCTCTGGGATTGGCAGGAACCTCAAGGAGAGGTCAGAGGTAGGAAAGATCTTACTTGACTGGGACAATCATGCTCCTGCTGTTTTTTGTTTTTTGTTTTTTTGGTACATATTCTAAGTTGACTCTCTTGTGAATTGCTTTATGTGATATGCTAGATGTCTTCTGTTTGTCCCTCTAGATCTAATCTTTTATCCCCTCCAGTCTGTTCTGGTCCCTGCAGAAGGCTGACCTTTATAGACTGTATTAAAGAGCTCCTTTATCTCTTAGCATCTACTTGAGTTTGGCCAATGGGGAGCACTGGAAGGAGACTAGAGAGAGGTAGGAGCGACAGGTTGGGTTATTTATCCTCCTGGTTCCTTCCCTGTGGGGTTGCCACTGTCTGGGTACATCCCTCTCTTAAAGGTCACAGCTCCTATTAGGAAGTTCTTTCCACACACTGCCCTCTGAGCCTGGCCTCTGTTAACCATTCTTGCCCTCGTCCCTTCAGGATTAGGCTGCTGTTAGCTCCAGAGCACTGCACTATCCCCCAAGGTCTCCTTCTACATTGCCCACAGTTTCTTACATAATCTCTTTATTAAACTATGCTCAAATGATCTAACTTAAGTGCCACCTCTTCTTTGGTAGGCCCTGACCAGTACAGTGGTTTCTTTGAAGATGCCTTACCAGAAGCATCCAACAGTGTAGTTTTGGTGAGGCGGGCAATGCATCTGCTGCACTGCTAACTTACAATTTACCCTCAGCTCCTGAGCATTCTGTGCTCTGTCTCTCTGTTGGAGGTCATATCACCTCTCTGAGGGCTTCGCTGGGGCAGAAAATTGAGGCTTAAATATGTTCTGCAACTTGCCCAGTGCCCCAGAGCTAGTGAGTGTGGTTGAATGTAGAGTCAGCCGCAGCCCCAGTTCCCATCAAAGCTAATGCTCTTTCCTCTGCCATGTGTCCATGTGCATTACCAATGACTTCCCAAAGCAGTTCTGCAAGCTTGCACTCCCACCATTTAAAAAGTGAAAACCACCCTAGTTTTCTGCCTGATTAGAATTTTGTGTGGATAACAGAATAACTTGATAGAAGTGGCCTTCTTCTGGCATGAAGACATAGGCCTGAAAGATGATTCCACCAGGAAGTTATAGCAAGGAGATACAACAAATAATTTAGGCCTGGACTCTACTGTGCTTCTGCTGAACACGAGAGTTGTGACTCAGTGAAAATAAGGTGCCAGCAATGGGCCCCCTCAGCAGGCAGGTGAGGAGGCCAAGTGTCCACATTTGCTAACACTTCAGTTTGAGTGGGACTTGCTCTGCTCCTGTAACCAACCCCTTTCCCAGCCCCACTATCCCAGACCTGAAATATCATAAAATCACCTGGGCACTGCTTGGCAAATGCAGTGTTGACACCACATCGCCTCAGCCTACCTTCAAATAGCGAAAGTAGGGTGGAAAGGTATCGCTCTCTTGCTTCCTACTCCCCAGAGAGCAGCTCTCTTGCCAGCCCCTCAGCCCAGGTTTCCTTTTAAGTGGCATCAGTAGTCATGTCCCTGGGAAGCTTTCCTTGATCCTACATCTCCTAGGTGCTTTCACAATGCTCTGTTCTTATGACCTCTATTTGTTCAACAAATGTTTATTCAATAAAGACTGGTTTTCTTCCAGGACCTCGTTCTAAAATCTAGACTCTACAACAGCACTTGGCTTACTGTTTTGTAATTGTTTATTTACTCTAACAGAAATAAGGTAAATCACAAACTTTAAAAAGGAAATATTCATAGTTTTAGCTGGGCTAGAATTCTGAAAGGTCATATCTTATGATTATTTTAAAAATATTTTATTTAAAAAATTATTGAAAATACTCTTTGTAGCTTAGTACATTGCACATTGCCAGCATGTAGTAGATACTCAATAGGTGTTCACTGAATGAATGGATACAGTATTTGGTATTGACTATTGGATAAGTTGGGATTTAGGGTTTTTTCTAGTCTTTTTTTTTTTTTTGTAGGGGAGAAAATTGAGCCAGTCAAATGCTGTTCAGTAACACACCCAAGTCCATGGGACAAAGTTCAGATTGGGACTCAGAGTCTTGGAACACCCACATCCCTCTCCTGTATTCTCTGCACCATTCCTGGACCTTTTTGTCCTCGCGAGGCCAGTGCAACCACACGAGGCCAGTGTGAAAAGAGCTGCTGCTTCTGAATTCTGTGGAAAGATGCCAGAGAGCTGACAAAACTGTGGGGCCATCACCACTGTCTCTGAATGTTCCTGATGAGGACACTGAGGTCCAGAGGTCTATGGCGCCCCAAAGCCACCCAGGTGGAACGTTGCAGTGAAAAACTAAGACTGTTATCTTTCAGACACACAACACTGTCAAACTAGAGTTGTGGTTTAATGGGGTGCCCACCCTGGAAGGTTTTAGGTCTAAGTGCCTCCTCCTCAGTCTAAGAAGTACTGACATGCCCATGTTGATGGCTGGTGAGCAATCACGCTCTACAGGTAGGTATGTGGGGAGGTGCTGTGTGTCCTGCTGCCCCCAGCACTCCCAAAATCTGGCCGAGGATTTTTTTGCCTCAGGAATTTTAAGACAATACATATAACACTAATAATAGTTTGTATAACGCTTCACAGTTCTCTTAAGTGTTTTCATATACATGATCTCATTTCAGGTACCTGCTCTCATTTGAAATTGTTGCAGGGTGTAAGCATATATTAAAATATCAGTTAAGGCAAGTTTTGAAATAAATCAGTCTGTGTTTGAGCATAAGTTAAAAAACAAAACAAAATGAGAAAATAACAACTCATCAATGTAGAACTAATTCCCCAGGTTGGACCCACAACCTACCTCCCGCCCACCGTAATTTTGTTCCAGCTTCATCATACTACCCACTGTACCCTGCACCCTCAGTTCTCCCTGATTTTGCTCATGTTCTTATTATGCCATCTGTCAGGTATTCTCCCCACTTCATCTGTGAAAGAAAGTAATCTTCCCTAATATTCAAAGCCCTGGTTATATATCTCCAATTTTGTTATAGTTTTCTTAACACCTTTTTTTGCTCCTTCCACTTCTGCAGAATTAGCTGCTTCCTGCTGGATGCTCCCACAGACTGTGTTATATCACTTCTTACATTGTATTGTAGTGATTAAGTTTGGTTCACTCTCCATCAGCCTGAGCATCTTGAGAGCAGAGCTGTTTTATTATCTCTAGTGGGTGGTGCCTGATAGGTGTTGGACGCACGTCTGTTACAAGACTGAGGAGCTGTGCCTGAGGCTTCTGGTGGCCACGCGGGGAGTCCCTGTGGATCAGCACTTATTAACCTGCTGTTCCCCATGTGCCCCAACCCAGCGCCAAACAGGGCCAGCTCCCCGGGGCTGAGGCCAGAGTTGAGGACCAAATCACTCTTTTAGTGCAGCCACATTTCTGCATGAAGCTGCCTGTTAGGTAATAAACAAATCTCACGTTTTACAACTTGTTTGCTGACTTTCTAACCAGATTTGTCGTCAGAACAAAACCAAACAAAGCTCCACAAAAATCCATTCTCTTTTGCAAACAATAAAATACACAGGAAAGATTAGGGAAGATTTGATTTCTTTACACCCACTGGCAATGTGTTTTATGTTGTTTTTTCCAAAAAATAATTTCCTCTATAGACAGTAATAAGGTGAGTGTGTGTCTGCACATGTGTGAGTGAGCATGTGGTAGCATGCAGACACATGTGTGGATGACCATGAGGTTGAAGGGCTGTGGGTTTGAAAGGTCAGCCACACTGAGGTTCAAATACAGGTTGATCATCTGTAGGACCCAGGGTGTCTGTAAAATGGGGATGACAAGACCTACACTGTGAGTTCATTGTGAGGATCCCAAGGGAGCCAAAGAGTCAGTGTAGTTCCTGATACTCAGAAACTGTCCCCAAGGGCAGTTGGAGTAGTGGCGCCTTGAGTTCTTGGAAAGCTCTCCCTGGTACCTTACACACACACGGGTCCCCTATCTGTGGCATTAGACAGAACTGTCAACTGTCAGTTATCTTTTCCTGTGCACCTATCTATCTCCTAATGGTCGTGGACCCTCTTGAGGACAGGGCTGGCTCTCACATGCCTTTCTGCCTTGAAGAGAACTTTCAGGGGATATGCTCACTGGGTGGGCTGGCCAGAGGGGTCATTGGGAGGATCCTAGGAAGAGTCTGAATCCCTACAGGGCCTTCTCTGCTCTGCTTCTTCTCGGTCTCACTTCAGATTCTGACCGCTGGGTGCAGGGAGAGCCCTGACACTAAAAGATCATTTCAGAAGCTGCTTTCAGCCCCTCCTCCTAGTCAAAGGTGTGAAGATGGATAGCATGACTATCCAACCAGACAGAACATGGGCTTCACTGCCAACTCCTCCACCAGTGAGCTACAGTCTTCTGGCCTCGGCATCTGAGTTGCAAAAATGGGAATAATAACACTTTCCTCATAGGACTGCTTCTGGGATGAAATGATAAGGCAGTAGAACCTATTAAGTGGCACAGGACCTGGCACATGTTAAGGTATTTGTTTTTTTGGTTAATACAACAGTCTTTCAATTTTAAGATGCCATTGATTATGAGATGGACTACAGATAACAGCTTTTCAGGAAAAATCTGAGTGTTAGTTACCAGTGAAATGCATACTTCTCAACCTCAGACACATCAAAGAGTGCATAAACAGGCTGTGAATTGTCTCCACAGAGACCGATTCCTGAGGGACAAGTACTGACGTAAGAAGCAGTAACCACCAACACAGTTAGATGACTGCCGTGGTGATCACCTCGATGACCACCTTGATGCTGGGGGACCCAAAGCCTGCACTGCAGCTGTTTCCAGGCCTGCGACAGAGAGAGAGAGTGAGAGCTGGCTGGACTACTGGGCTCTCCATGTGGTTCAGGCCTTCGGAAGTCAAGCCTGACCCAGGCAGGGCATATCCTCAGTGTCTGCCCCACCATCACATGGGCTCAGCCTTCAGCTGGCGTCTGTCAGACCTGTCTCCAGCGCAGTGCTTCTTCAGTGTCTTTAGGGCTTCTTTGCTCCTCTCAGACTTGGGAAAGTGGGGGATAGCTTCTGTTGGAGCTGCCCCCTTTTCTCTGCACTGGCTTAGTCTATAGGACTGTGCTTGTGCCTTGATTCTGCTTCCTAAGTTCATTGTATCTGCCAGGATTTAGTCAGGAAAACAGAAGCCACACTAAGCATATCAAACAGAGGGGGTTTAATACCGGCTGTGGGATGAGTAGGTGTTGGAAGGCTGGGGCAGCCAAGGGGGACTGGACTGTGACGTTTTCCAGACCTCATTAACTGCTGGGAGAATCTACCAGAGCTGGGGCTGGGGGAACACTGTCCCCAAAGTTCCTCCATTGGAGGAACAGCCACCATGCAGGAGAAGCTGTTAGATTTGGGATTATGGAAATAACACAGTGATTTAGAGACACCACAAAAAGAAAGAAAGAGTGCAAGAGACAGAGGAAGAACAATAACTTCTCCCCTTCTCCTGCCTTCTGTTTGTCTCCAGCGTCTTTGTTGAGAAAGATTCTGAGGACATCAGCTGGTAAAGGGACCTAGGCATTACAACTTAGCACTCAGGGGGTGGGCTTGGGGCTGAGAGACAGTAGGTAGATATCAGTATAGTTGGGCAGCCAGCAAATATTTATTAAGTGCCTTATAAATGCCAGGCTCTATGGTAGTGCTGGGGAGTCATCACTGAACAAAACAGAAAAGTCTCTGCCCTCTAAGAGCCCACATTTTAGTGGAGAAATAGCCAATAAACGTAAAGATGTCAAGTATACACTATCTCAGATGGTGGTAAGAGTCATAAAGAAAAATACAACAGGGAAGGGACTTGGGAATGGTGGGAGTAGGTGGGTGGGCAGGACAGGTTTTGCTGAGAAGGGTGTTTCACTGAGAAGTGAAGGAGTGAGCCCTGACACTCTCTGGAAAAAGGGTCATTACAGGTGGAGACACAGCAAATGCAAAGGCTCTGGGGCCTATCACACTCAAGGAATAATACAGAGTCCAGAGCAGAGTGTGTAAGGAGAGAAGTAATAGGAAATGAAGCCAGGGAGCCAGCTGCCAAGAGCAGTTTGGGTTCCAGAAGAAAAAACCAGAAACCCCTTAGAACAAGTAAGCCACCTAAGAATCTTTACACAAGTTTTTATTAGGCCCGGCACTTGCCTGACTGCAAGGCCTGGATTATTTGCACTGGCCTCCCTCCTCCTTCTTGTAGGCTCAGAGGAGAGATCAAAAGGGTGAGGCTTAAAGACAGACCCTGCAGTGCTTTGGAGGCCACTGCAAAGGATTTTATTCTAAGCGAGATGGGAAACCATTTTCTCCTTCTGCCCTGCTCAGTACCCACTGTCTCCTCCCCGCTCCGAATGAGAAGTAGAGGTCTGCATGGAGCCCCATCTCAATAACTGGGATTCCCCTTCCTTTGTTCCCAACATATGCATATTGTCTACTAGACTTTTGGCTTCCTGAAAACAGGGCCCTGCCTATGTTATATATCTCTGTATGTTTAATCAGTGCTTGGCACCTAGTAGAGACTTAGTAAATAACACTGAATGAAAGAGTGGTTAAGTTGACTTCATCTCTCATTTGCCACCAGCCTTGTGACAGGTTGATTCAGCTGACTCAAAGCCATCATCAATTGGGTGCACAGAAGCATTCCAATTTGTTAGTTTGAGTCAGCTAAACAATAGAGCAGTTGCTTGATTGAATTTTTAAGTTGGGTCATGATACTTGTGTGGCTATAGTCTCAGTCTCCATGAAAACTTTGAGGCCAGGGAATTATTACACAGAGGTATGTCTGCCCCACTGCTTTGTGGTAGTGGTGGAGGGTTCCCCCCTCCCTTTTATTAGTGATAAAGGTTTTGTTGGAGATAATTGTATTTTTAGCAGCACAGTTAATGAACTAGCTAAGCATCAATAGATGGAATCATAAAACCATTAAACACCAAGAGCAATAATGGGAAACTCTGTCTGGTGGTAATGAAATTAAGTGTCTTTATGAGGACACTTTCTTTTCTCCTCCGCTCTCTTGCCCTCTCGAGTACATGGTGACTGCTGCTCCTAATTGCTGTTTCACTAAAATGCACAATGCTATCCTTTTGTGTTTTAATTCAATGTATTTCTAGGGCCTTCAGGATCATTAAACTCTCTACCAAGGGAGTGCAGTAGAAGTGGTGGTTATGAAACCATCTGGAAGTGGCCCAGGAGTGTGGGAGAATGAGGACAGTGGCAAAGGTAGAGAAGAAATAGAAAAGACCTGTTGGTCTTAGTACTGAACCCAAGGTGATCAGTACCAGTGCTCAGGGGGAGCCCCTGTGGGTCTTTGGTACAACCTCTGAAGTCAGGACAGGGCCACTCCTAGGGGGATACGGTGTCCATGGCTATATCTGTACTTGAACCATATACTTTTTAGCATAGCTGGCCAAGCCTAGTACTATTGCAGGGTTAAGAAGTGAATTAAAGCCCTGATATAGACATGCTATTAATTTTTTCATTGAGCCACCTATAAAGCCTGTATACACTAAGTGTGTTTCCACCCTGCTAAGGAATTGGAAGGACAGAGTGAAGCCTCAAAATGATCACCGCCAGCTGGAACTATAAGGCCAAACATGATGGAATTTAATAAGAGCAAATGTAAATGGCACCCCTTTGCTTTACAAGGTCAGTTGTTCATGTAAAGGATGAAAAACCTGACCTAACAACAGCTCAGGTCAACAGAAGCTAGTGGAGTCAGTTGGCTGTGAATTCCATGTATGCCAGCAGTGCCATGTGGCTGCCTCTTCGCCCCCTGCTAATGTACCATGATGTATGAAGCATTGCAGAGGAACCCATGAGGATGTTTATCGAACCAGAGCAGAGAAGCACCTGCAAGAATAGTGCAGCAGCCTAGGAGAGGCTCGCTCAGAGAGATGTCAGACAGGCCTGAGCTTTGGGGAGCTACTTGGAGCTGGTCCAAGAACACCTCCAACAAAATAAGTGGAAAAACCAGAGTGAGGGGTGTAATTCTAAACCCACCAGACGGCCTCAGGGAGAGAGATTTGTTTGGGCTGGAGTGGAAAGAAGGGTAGGCCAAGGAAGTGATAGAGAGAGGAGGAACCCCCAAAAGTCAATCATAGTGTTAATGTGTTTCAATGACACGTTTGAATGCGGCATGCGCTTAGCCTTTTGCTGTTTGAAATGCTATGAAAGCTTAGACACAGCATAAACAGTGCTGACTGTTCCTGCTCAGACCACAAGTGTTATTCAGAGGATGGTGGGGTCTGTGAGGACAGGGTCATCAAGGAAGACGTCATGGGAAAGCTGGAGTGGGGCCAGGGGAGATGTTGCTGGCAAGGCATTAGCTGGGGAAAACGAGAAAATCAGCTAACTGGAGTCTTGGGAAATAAGGTGGGATAAGCGAGGGTAAGGCCAGAGCTTGGCACACTCAGTGGGCCAGACGAGGAGCTGAGGCGTGACGGAGGCACTGAGCTGAGCTCTTATCTGTGGATTCAGAGTTCACAGAAGAACCCTCTGGCTGGGGAACATGATGTGAAGGATGACTCTGAGTCTTGACTTTCCTCCTGATCATTTTTTCCCTTTGCAGTGTGTATCCAGGGGCAGGGAGCTGATGACCTGTGTGTTGTGCCGATGATGTACAGCAGATGTGACTGCCTGGACAGTGGTGAGGAGGCCGGCTCCATGGAAAAATCCTTGGCAGAGAAGCCCTAGTGCCTTCTGATGGGAAACCAAACTAAGTGACAGCAGGATGTGAAGATGCCCTTTATCTGCAGAGTGTAAGAGATTTCCCTTCCTTCTCTTTCTTCCTTCCTTGCTCCCTCCCACCTCTCCTCCAACATGTATTTGCTGAGCAATACAAAGAGGATCAGAACACAGCATAGGTCCTTCTTCTTATAGTTCATAGTGGAGAGGAGAGGTAAGACACATGGATAAGTAACATTGTTCATTTGATTAAAAAAAAAATCCTCACCCAAGGATACATTTATTGATTTTAGAGAGAGAGGAGGTGGGCGGGGGGTGGGGGCGGAGATTAATCAGTTGCCTTCTGTATGCATCCTGACTGGGTACAGACCTGCAACCTAGGTATGTGTCCTGACAGAGGAAACTGTCGGTGCATAGGATGATGTTCCAACCAACCAAGCCACGCCCGCAAGGGCTATTTATTTGATTTTAAGATGCACCCTCAATATGTCAATAATAACAGGTTTTCAGAAGAAAAAAAATCAGAAACACTACCACACTAAATGTACACATTGCTACAAAACATCTTGATTTTAAAAACATTCAAATGTGAAAAAAATGTGTTTTTAGAGTGGTCACACTAACCTATTAGGATGTAAAAATGTGGGGAAAATGTGTCTTTAAAGTAGTGGTTTACAGCAGTGTGATCATTGTCACAGCAGGAGTGGGTACAAAGTGCCATTGGAACCCCCTGGACGAAGCTTGTAAAGCTGCCTGGGGACACCGATCAGGCTTCAGCAGGAGGTGGTGCTGGAAGGCCGCCTTCTGGGAGAACAGTGGTAGACCAGGGTGGGTAAAGAGGCCAGAAGAGGGGGTTGGGGCAAGGGAGCAGCTTTGGCAGAGGAAGGAGACAAAGAAGAGGGTGATGCATTCTGGGAGCAGCTGCTGGTTCTCATTGTGACTGCTATTATCAGCGGAAGGACAGAAGAGACCTTCAGTCTGGAGGGGCTGGGACGAGTTTCATCATAAGGACAGCACGGAAGGAGATGTGGGCTCCCCGGTGCAATAGGATGAGGCATCTCTGCTAAACTTGCTCACATCTTGAACACTTTGTCTGTTTTCTATTTACATAAGGTATAAACCAATTGCCTAATGCAAAAATGATGTGTTCTCACATAGTAAGAAAATACAACAGATTTCAATCAATAGACTTGGAATTTTTCATTAAGTCTGCTTGCCTATTTCCTTAAACCTTTTCTCCAGGGGAAGAATACTCTTTTGAAGTGATTGATTGTGTTGTCTATCTTCCCCTCCTCTCCCCACCCTCCCCCAGAACATGTACCTCTTACAGCTTCTCTCTTCCCCCTCCCCCTCCTCCTCAGTTGTTGTAAAGAATCTGCTCAGCTGCAACATTAGGCATGCCTCAAGGAATACATTTTTGTTCAGATGTGTGTGTGTGTGCATACACATGTGAGGTTGTTTCTGAAGTGCATCCTCACAAAATAACCTTTGGGTATTGGTATGATGAGGATGCCATTAGGAGGAAATTCATCTACGTTGGTTCCAGAGGTGGGGGAAGCTACTGCAGTGTTGAAAGAAAGCTCAATAACCAGTCAGGAGAGTCCTTTCCGGGAAGGCCTGGTGGAAGATGGACAGGACAGGATTACTTAGGACATTCTCCTGTGATTCTCTTTGTCTCCCAGGGAATGGCTGTTCTCCTGGGGCAGAGGAGCACCCCCTGGTCCTCTCTACATTCACTCAATAGGTCAGTGCACCCTGGGCCTGGAAGAGAGGACCCCATGTCTGCTCCCTCTTCATACTTTTTCATCCCTGAGAGGGCACTGAGCTATTGGAGCACAGAGAATTGGGGTGGATGTAGGCTGTGATGGAAATGGTACCCAGGAGGGGCCATCCTGCTGCCTCTTCCTGCTGGTTCTGCCACTGGAGCCTCTTTGGAGCACATTTCCTTATCTGCAAAATCAGATTATTTACTAGTTGATCTCTACATCTCTGTCTTAGTTCTACGATAGTGATTCAAACAAGAATAAAGCCACTGTTGCTGAATGTTTACACTATGTGCCGAGCACTCTGCTAAGAGCTTTACATGTGTTATCTCATTTAATCTTGATGGCAGCTTTGCGAGGTTTGTAAAAAATGATACAGGCAGCCACTTTAAAATGTAGCCATGGTGGCCATCCCACGTGCCTTGCACGTGCCTTGTACATCTATACCTCACACTCTGGAATGTTAAAACTGGGCAAAATAACCTTTGCACTGGACCTAAAGCAACCTTGTGTCCCAAAGAACTGTTTGCAAGGAAAACAGGACGGCAGATATTATGGCTACCAGACTATCCTCTATCTGAAATGTAGCATTTCCTTCAATTATGAATGTGAGAACTGGTAGTATTAACCTGACCCTTGATTTTGTCATCAGTAGAAATCACAAATATTTTCATATCACATTACGGACATAGTTATTTGGAAATGCCATTTACGCCTACCTCTATTTTGAAACCACAGGAGCTGTTAGACCGGCTGCTAGAATTGTGGGCTCGGTCTCCCCACACTCTCCTGAGAAGTAGCTGGCTGCCATCGGGCAATTCTGTAGGCAGGTGGCCACTGAGCAGTGAATGTGAGCGTTCTCACAGGGGTGACCTGGACATTTCAACATCCCTGACTCTAATCACCTAATTGTAATCATATGCAGGAGTTGAATCATTTTCATATGAGCTAAGTTTTGCAAATCTGGATCGCTCTAATGTGTTTTTCATTCTCTATCTTCAATGCAGCCTTTGGTGACAGATGAATTCCAACATGTCTGATTGCTGAGCTAACTGTCCAAGTGTGAAACTTAACTCCTTGTGAGAGCAAATGGATTGCATGGTGATACAGGTCATGCACAGTGTGGTGAGCTCTGTGCAAGAGTCCCGTTTTGACTTGTTTTTCCCTTTTTACATGTCTGTGTTATGAAGTAAAGTCTTACATACATAGTATGTTATTCATACATTGTTCTTATCCTGTGAAATGCCGCACATTAAAAAAAAATACCCTTGTGGAAAACAGTGACAATATGAGAAATGAGAACTATTGTTTCTAGAAAGTCGTGAAGAGTCACATGAAACAATAGCTAAATTCCAGGGAGGACATGGCTCCTGAGAAGCTGCTGCAATCCCCATCTATACAAAAGCTAAAAGATGTTAATAGAGCAAAAACTTTGGCTAATCATAAAACCTTCCTTGTTTTACTTGCCATAAAATTTAATGAATAATTTATACTTTATTTAATTAACATACAAATTATTCCCTCCTATGTAGATTTGTCAAACAAATTACTTAGGAACCACAAACAAAATATTGCATTTCACAAAATGTCAGTGGAAAAAAATATTTAATTTTAGCTTTATTTATTATTTATTTTTTGCAGACCCAATTTATCTAGAGCTGGCAAAGAAAAGGAAGGTCTGATGGAAACTGTATACCTGGTTTCATTTACATTAGTGAAGCAATGGGACAGAAAAGCTGTAATGACTTTTCTTTTGCAGAAAAATTCTTGAGAATGGCATTTTGAAGTCAGGAAGACTGAAAGTGTACTTCAGTCTCTCTATTTAGAAAATGCATCTAAAGAAAATGCAGAGTTTTTTGTGTATTTAGAAAAGAAAGCTCAATTTTAAAAAGCAAGGATACTTCAAAAATGTGGATTTGCCATTTCATGAAAACCTTTTCTGAAAGTATCTTTAAAATTTTCTACCAGGTGCCAAACTAAAAAAGCTTCATACTACTGGAGAAACTTTACCTGAAGACATATAGATGGGAAATACTGAGTGGCTGGAAGTGGCTCTTTAGACAAACAGAGTGCTTTCAACAACAGAGGGCATATTTTGAAGTTTGGTTATGGAGAAATTGGCAGCCTTGCCATTCCCCTCAGTAAGTAACTTGAAACTACAGATGTCTTTCAACATAGACATGTCCTTGTTCTGTTCATGATGACCCTGCTAATGTCAACAAAGAGGAGTTCTTGTTTTGTGGATACCTTTGCAAACTGCAAAGACCACCGACATTTTAGAAATGGTGTAAAATTTGTTTTAAAGCTTCATATTCTTGCACAGGAGCTCCTGCAATGCTTGATTGGGCGTCTGATGTTATTGTAGTGCAAAAGGAAGCACTTCATGATGTAATCACTTGCTGCATTTAATACAGGCATATTCTGGCTTTTCCAAAAATCCTGAGAGAGAAGTTCTGTCGGCAGCCATAAAAGTCATCAACTTTATCAAAAGCTGGTCTTTGAGTCATAGTGTTTTTATAGGTTTTGTCAAGAAATTGTAGCAGAGCAGTTTGAATCGTGGTGCGATGGAGTAGGCGGTGGGGTCTTGCTGGGTGTCTGACTAGCCCTTTTCCTGCCTTGCTTGTTTGAGCTTCAGCAGAATTGGAAATGGCTGATGGCAAGGCTGGGAAAGACTCCTGCAAGACCAAGACAAAGGCGGTTTCCCCTCACAGGGAGCCGGCTTGCAGTTTCCCTGGGGCTGTATTCATCGGCACCTGAAATCTAGGAAGACCAGTCATGGACGTTTCAGCACGACTGCCGCTGTGTACAAGCACAGCCATTCTGGAGTACCTCACTTCAGAGGTACTTGAATTGGCAGGAAATGCATCAAAAGACTTAAAGCTAAAGTTTTTAACCCCCTCCATCCCCGCTGTCATTTACAACTTGCTCTTGGTGGAGATGAAGAATTGGATTTTCTCATCAAGGCTACAATGGCTGCTGGTAGTCTCATTTCACACATCTGCAAATCTCTGATTGGGAAGAGAGGACAGCAGAAGACAGTCTAAAAGATGTGGGGATTTCTCACTGTCTCAGAGCTCTAAATACTCTAACAGATGTCCAGAGCTGGTGATTATAGTGATCTTTGTGAAAAACACAATTTCGCCTTTTTGTAATCCTATCTGACCAAGTTGGAAGTTTAATTAGAATTCTAACCAATCAAATTTCTTCATTTGAGTCTTAACCATATTTAAGTTTTACTGTGGTTTCAAAGAAGCTATTGATTCTGAAGTAGTGAGCTTGATTGAGTTGACTGTTTTTAAAAAACTGTTTGGATTTTAATTGTGATGCAGAAGTTATAGTAACAAACATTTGGTTTTGTACGGATATTATTTCCACTCCAGTGGATAAGCTCAATAAAGGTCCTATTCCCCCCTTCCCCTTCAAAAAGGAAATGGTAGCAGAAAATTAGGGGCTTCTCTACCACAGAGAAACTTACTGACTTTCAGGAAGAAACATTCACTTTTTATAAAAGAAAAAGAAAATCCATTTTGGAACACTTTGAAGGAAAGAATTTTGCCTGTGTTGCTGGCTTACCTGGCAGGTATTTTTAACTATCTGAATGAGATGACTCTTCGAATTCAAGGTCCTGATATCATCATCACGGGTGCTTTTGAAAACATTGCCAGCTTTGTTGGCCAAGCTGCTGGTAAGAGGCTGGACTCTTCCCAAACCAATTTTCTCTCTTTCTCTCTTCCTTCCTTCCTTCCTTCCTTCCTTCCTTCCTTCCTTCCTTCCTTCCTTCCTTCCTTCCTTCCTTCCTTCCTTCCTTCCTTCCTCCTTTTCTCCTACCCTCCCTCCCTCCCTTGCTTCTTTCCTTTTTTTTGTATTTTATTTATTTATTTTTAGAAGGGAGAAGGGAGGGAAAAAGAGAGGGAGAGAAACATCAATGTGCAAGAGAAACATCCATCTGCTGCCTCTCGCACGCCTCCAACCAGGAACCTGGCTTGCAACCTAGGCATGTGCCATGACTGGGAATCCAACCAGTGACCTTTCACTTTGCAGGACGACACTCAACCCACTGAACCACACTGATCAGGGTGCTTTACAAACTTTCAAATTCTGAAGAAAGTGCTTTACCTCCGTGTAGTTACAAAATCCTGTGAATTTTTTGAAAAGCCTAATTTACAAACACCTGGAAATGCTTTAGAACTCTTGCAAAAGTCATTTTTATCTTGATGGCAACAAAATTGAACCCTAGAGTCTCATTATTTTTCTTTTTTATACTTGTATAAACTGAATCAAAGGTGTTGATCTAGCTAAAGATGAATTCATTGATTTTAGGACCAAAAAAGCTACTGTAACTGAAATTTCACTAAAAATCCTTGGAGAGTTTTGGTGCTCCCTGGGAGACACTTTTACTTTGTGAAGGAGCTGGGGAAGCTTTAATTCCATTTCAACACTGTATCTTTGAGGATTGGATTTTCAACACTGTTACCATAAAAATATATCAAAATCAATTGGATTTCCAACAGGACCTGTGTATTATCTTGTCAGAGATCATTCTACCATTTTATGATCTTATTGAAGATAAGCAAAAACTGTTTTTATATGAGTATGTCTTTAAACATTAAAATTTAACTTTAACCTGACTGTATTTCAAATGTTTCATTTTTCTAATGCAGTGAAGTAAAGCAAATCTATTACTATATAACAAATATGTTTTATTTTATTTTTAAATTTAATAAGAAATGTGCAGTATATTTTTTGATATTGTGCTTTTATTTATTTTTATTTATTTATTTTTTAATTTATTTTTTCAAATACATTTGCCCCACCACTTTCCCTTGCCCCCTCCCTTCCTCCCTCCCTCAGCTCTTCCCCTTTGGTTTTGTCCATGAGTCCTTGCTAGATGTTCCTTGACTTTCCCCTTCCCTTCCTTTTCCCCGCCCCCGCTCCCTCCTTCTCTCTAGTCTCTGTTGATTTCTTTTCCTTTCAGTGTTGCTGGTCTTATTTTCCTTGCATCTTTGTATTGTTGGTTAGGTTCCACTTATAGGTGAGATCACATGGTATTTGTCTTTCGCCCCCTGGCTTAATTCACTTAACATAATGCTCTCCAGTTCCATCCATACTGTTGCGAAGTTTAGTAGTTCTTTTTTTCTTTCTGCTGCGTAGTATTCCATTGTGTATATGTACCATGATGTTTTGATCCAATCATCTACTGATGGGCATTTAGGTTGCTTCCAACACTTGGCTATTGTAAATTGTGCTGCTATGAACATTGGGGTGCATAGATTCTTTTGTATTGGCGTTTTGGTGTTCTAAATTTTCAGAATTATAGAAAGTAAGCTTTCAGTATGGAGATAGACACATAGCAAACATTTTTAAAGTAATACTTTGGAAATTGTATTTTAGTATATTTAGTTTTTTTGTAATCTGTGTATTTATTGCATGAATTGAAAAATATTATTCTAAAAAATGTCCATAGACTTCACCAGGCTGCCCAAAGGATCCATGGTGTAAAAACAACAAAGAATTCACTCTGAGGGGACATGATCAGCTGCCATGCTCTCAAGTTTCTTAAATGTGGGAAAATGTTGGTTTCATGTGTATTAGGGTGAAGGCTGGAAAGAGAGAAGCACCCCTCACACAAGGCTAGGCCAGTCAAAAGGCTCCTGTGCCTCCAGGAAAACCCTTGAAGGAGTCAGCCATGAATGTCCAACCCCATCACCCTCAGGACAAGGGAGGAGGCAGGAAGATACCAGTCCCAAATACAAAGGTACCTCCTCTTTTCTTCCGGTAATAATTGATTTTAGAAAACTGGTCACTTAAATTTTTTTATTTGTTGATTGATTTTTGAGAGAGAAAGAGAGAGAGAGAGAGAGAGAGAGAGATTCATTCTTCCATTTATTTATCCACTCATTGGGTGATTCTTGTATGTGTCCTGACCAGAGATTGAACTTACAACCTTGGTGCAACCTTGGTGTATTGGGACGATGCTCTAAGCAATTGAGCAATGGAAATAAAATGCATTACTGAGTTCTTTCTGTGTGTATGAAGTGTGATTTTGTATGGTTACAGAGGAGAGGACCACATGGTTTCTTCCTTTGAGGGGTTAACACTTGATTTGTGGAGACAAAACTAGTGTGTAAAACAATTAAGGATGTTTAAATGCAAAGCTAGATGGTCTCTTGAGAAAAAAACCACCTGTTGACTTTACCATCACAGTGTCTCCAGAGTCCAGAATATTGCTTGGCACGTAATATGTGCTAGAAAAATCTCTGTTGAATGAAAAAAATTGGTGGCTGGATTTTTAAAATAACATCTATTGTTATGAGAGTAATACATGTTCATTAAAGAAAACTTGAAAATACAGAATAACAAAAAGAAGTAAAAAAGAAAAAAGCAGCCAATACTTTCTATATTTTTTCTTTTTCTTTTTTTCCTAAATACACATCAGAACACACACACACATATACAACCACTCATACTTTAAAGAACAGACTTGGGACCTGGGTTTTATAGCCTGATTTTTTTTCTCTTAAAATTATATTGTGAACATTTTTCTGTGTCATTAAATATTCTTCAGAACATTATTTTTAATGGCTTCACTGTACAGTATGCTATAAATAAATCATGGTGTAGCCTAACTTATTAGCCGCTTTCCTATTGTTGAGCATTACTGTTGAGGACATTTTATACACCAGCAGCTACACTTATTTGTTGCTTGTTCTCTTCCAAGTACTGTGCTGAGGTTTTCCTCTTCATACATAATCTCAATTTAACTTAATTCTCACAGCAATCTAATGAGGTGGAATTCATCATATCCATTTTATAGGGGGAAAACCTGAAGGTCAAAGGAGTAACATACCAAAGGTCATGCTGCTAGAAATTGACAAAGCTGGAATTCAAATCTAAGTTCTGTTTAATGCCAAAGTCCAGACACTCAAATGTTACTTTAGACTGCTCCCCTAGCATGCGTGAGGAAAGCACCTGCTCCTTAGGTAATAAGGAGAGTGAGAAACATATAACAGAAGGTAGGAGGAGATCCAGAAGAGAGAAGGATGCTAAGAAGCAGTGCTTTTCCATGTCCACAGCTGTGGAGATACCAAGATGGACAAGACCAACCAAAGCAAAGCCTCAGAGTCTGCTTCATGAGAGGCATGTTCAAAGTGAGAGTGGAGGGAAAGGTGTGTTCTGAGCTCAGTGAGGCTGACTTTTTGGTGGTAGAGTGACAAAACTTTTCTTGCATTTCTTCCTGATATCAAGAGGCATCTAGCAGCCTTCATACCAAAGGCTAAAGGGAGGGGCCATAAAGAGCAGCAGAGTGTTGCTCTGTCCTTAAGGGTTCCTGCGTTGCCTTGTGTGTGAGCAGTATTAGAAAGCAGCTCAGAGGCTTGTTGGGATGGCAGCAAGGTCACCAAGCCCAAGTGGAGGCAGAATTGCAGGGTGACCAGAGGGGCTGGCTGGGCCTTGAACTGAGCACAGCTCTTCATCAGGGACAGGGCAGGGACCAGGCTTAGGTGACCAACTGTCCTGGAGTGCCAGGAACTGAGGAAGTCCCAGGCACTATATCTCTCACTTGGGTTCCTAATGGTCTCCCCTGCTTGTGGCCCTGCTCCAACAGTCTATTCTTAACCCAACAGCCTAAGTGATATGTTCCT